AAAGTTTAGGATTGTTACAAGCGGCCTATATCGTATATTAACAGCAATTGAAGGGTAATGCAAATAATTAATCAATAATCAGAAGGACTCAATTATCAAAAGGGATAAATTCATTCTGAACCAGCCAATTACTGCCATAGGTAATCACTTTCAACTACCTTAACAGCATGATCAGATTATTATTTTTTTCTTGCTTCTTACCATTTACCTTGGATGGAGAAATGTCTAAATTTATTCAAAATCAAAATACACTAAGCCAATCGAACAGCATAAAGATTAACTTTAGAGGGGAAACATGTCATCTGCATTTGAGCTGTAAAATACATGGCTGCGTCTAACTCTCATTACAGGTTCAAAACCTTCGAGCATTGTGAGATGGGATAGTAATAAGAGACTGGTAAGAAACACAAGCATCTGTAGCCTACAAAGGCCAGCAAAGGAGAACATGGTCCAAGAAAAAGAACTAGAAGGATGGATAGGGTACTAAATAATGAATAGCCTCTATTTTGAAGGACATTGAAGGCAGAGAAGTACCATTGAGCTTGAGGAGGGAACAAACGCTTTCTACAAATCTCCATTAAACCTGTTCCCCACCTCTACAAAAGGTTCACAAACGAATTCCTCATCTTTTATGTGGCAAAGCCGAACAGAGGGGATGTGTTGCTGTTGCACTTTGAGACGTTCTTCACCTGAATCTCTTTAATAGGCTCACAATCCTTCACCCATCTCCCCAAGATGCAAGTCTTCAAGGGCAGTGAGGTATTGGCAGCCCTGAGGCAACCCCTACAATATGAAACCTGCAATGTACGGAGTCCTATCATTTTGGACTATGGGCAGTGAGGTATTGGAAGAATGATATTCGAAAGACCTAAAATGATTGATGCTTGGGATAGGGTTCACCGTAGTCTTACATGGAACTAGATATGCATAAGGATGTGAGGGGCATTCTGACACTAAGTTACCGGGAATTATCACCTTTTCTGAAGTATTGTTTTCTATATTGTTGCTTGTTCCCAGAAGACTATGAGATTCCCCATTCAAAGTTGATTAGACTATATAGAGAGGGATTCATAGAAAGAAAAAGAGGAATAACAGAGATGAAACATCATTTTGGATAGAGATGTGCGGAATTCTACCCTCAAATCTGATATTTTTCCAATTCCAAAATGTTCCAAACCACTCTTTCTCTAGTAACGAAAGACCAAGTTTTCATACCACATCGTGGACATGAATGGCTTTGACCTTCCCAGTCTTACCGGTTTTTGCCATGTGAATCAAGCTCCGATCTAGCGACTCTTTAAAGCAATCATCGGATACTTCCATATTTGTTATTCATCTCTTTCCTTCAAGGAATCCCCCATCAGCCCATAGTCTAATCAACTTTGAACGGGAAATCTCATAGTCTTCTTAGAACAAGCAACAATATAAAAAACAGTACTTTAGAAAAGGTGATAAATCCTGATAACTTAGTATAAGAATGCTCCTCACATCTTTATGCCTATCTAGTTTTCATCCAACACTACGGTAAACCCTATCCCAAGCATCAATCGTTTTGGGTTTCTGAAACGTCATTCTTCCAATGGCCACAATTACAAGGGGGTACCCTCACATTCCTTAACAATGAGCCTCACAACTTCCTCCAATTTCAACAGACATGAGTTACCATTCTCCCCCCCAAAATAATACCTTCTTGCAAAAGAGAGACCATGCTTCTTATGTTGTTACTTGTTCCAGCCGATAGACTTTGCTCAATATGCACAATGGTGAAATGACTTCAAAAGTACGATATTTTATAGTGAATTTGCTTCCGTCATTGTGCACCACTCCCCACATATCCTCCTTCCACACATCATCTAACACCACAAGGCACCTATTGTCTTGTACATGTGCATATAGGTTTTTTTGCAAATGCCCTATTTCTTTTTCTCTACATGATGTTTATCGAATCCTCTTAGAATAGCATTCAAATTCTCTATTTTGTTGAATGATTGTGATATGGTAACCAATGAACAACGAACAAACAGTTTCTTAACAAATTCTTTTGGCAAGAATAGTTTCCCCTAATCCACCCATGCCTAAGATAGAGATTACCTTGAGTTGTTGGTCACAGTCTAGCAGCCATCCTTTCACTAATTTCACTTTCCCCTCAATTCCAACAACGTCTGCTTGCCAAAGCATTTGAAGGTTGAGCTTGTTCCTTCTCTTGCCAATGTCATCGACACGAGCTTTAATACTCTGTATCTTAGTTGCAACCCATGCTTGATGTGATGTTCCTTAGTAGAGGAAACACGTGAGATCAAACAGCCTGCAAATCCTCTCCTCCTCCTTCGCATACTTGCAATTTGGAGGAGGAATATGTCAAGGATATCCTCAGTACCGTAGGCCACATCTCGCACTTGTCCAACCCAAGTGCCCACCAATTGACCTGTCTCTCTTTTTTTATCAGCAATATTTAGGAACACTTTCATGCCTTTGAGCTCATCCTTGATCCACTGAATATCATCTTCCACTCCTAAAAGGATTTGCAGTTCAACTTCGAGGAATTTGTCTAGTTTCTGCAGCAAAAATGATACAAAATTGTCAACCATCTCTCTCTCTCTCTCTCTCTCTCTCTCTCAGAGCTTTGCTTTCTTATTGTGTAGAAGTTCTCAGATGCCAAGTCTTTGCCTTTCCTTAAAGCCAGCTTCTTATAGACATCAATGATGATGGTGAAAATTTGGACTGAGTAGGAAGGAGCAGAACATTTTCCATGAGTTGCATTGCTTTCCAGTTGTTATTCCTTGAATTTGCTCAGCATTGCCCACTCAATAAGCTTTGTCCCCACCTCAAATAGTGCATTCTAACTTTAAATGCTTCTGCACCACCTCAGGTAAGATAATGCAATGCACTTCAAATGAAGGCCATTGTTCATCTACTTTTGGTTAGAGTTATCCATTGTCAAATTAATTTTGTTACACTAAATCTTTGTTGAAGTAGTTTTGTAGGAAAAAAACCAATAAGATTCTTTATTTTTTAACAACATGGTCATAATCATCCTCAACCATTGGATGTGACATCGGACAATAAGTAATGTGCAATTGACCATGTTCAGAGTCAAATAATTCTTTTCGAACTTTCTGAGACACTTCAAGCCCCCTGATTTCACATTTCATGGCTAAGAATGATTGCGACCTTCTTGTACCATCTTGTAATATAAAATCCAATGTTGCAATTTTGGATTCAAACACATTCTCTTTTTAAAAATTCATTTAGAGAGTGATTGTGGATATAAACTTTTACAAGTGCATAATCTCAATCACCACGATCGTGAAATAAAAAGAAATGAAATGGATTTTGAGCTTCAAAAATAGATTATTTAGACTTTGTTTGTGGACCGCTCATTTTAATTCTTCATAGATCATCCAATTTGTACTACATTTTTTACCCGTAAAATCATGGATCTAAAGCGAAAATATATCAACAATAACCTAAGATGTGTTTAATGTCCTAAACTACAAAATAATTTTTTTGAAAGAAACAGCATTGAATAGGTGCGTGACTACAGACTTTCCATTGTGGTTCTTTCCTTAGAAACATCTAAGATGCGCATGTCCCACCTCATATTATGCAGTGTACCCCAATGGCAACAATAAAGATGGAGGACAATGTTCATCCACTGTTGCTAAAGTTATACTCTCTTAAAGAAATTTTTTGTTGAAGGAATGCATTCTAGTGTGCTTCTTTGTTAAAGTAATATTAACACTGAGAGACACTAAATCATCTCTCTCTCTCACACACACACACTCAGAAGCATTAATAGGCTTCTTCATTAATTTTCTTTGGCCCTACGGCCAGCTATTGGTGAAAATTAGAAACTAGAAAATACCTTGTGGAAAATTTGGACCAATTATGCAATATTGATACCTTTCACATGAGATATTTAACTTTTTTATTTTATTTTTTAAACTTTTTATATGTTAATAGTGGAAATGGAGGGTCACATTCGAGATTTTTAACTTTGCATAGTAAATATGAAGGTACGAAAATGCTCCATGTTGTGATTACTTACGTGATCACTTACCGTATATCAATGTACTATCGCATTGCATATTTACAAAATTATTTACATGAACGATTATTTACATGAGCGCTTATTGTATATCTACATACTCTCCATTGCATATTTACGCAACTATTTGCATGATTGCTTATTTCATTTGTACGTGCATTGCACGTAATCCAACTAGTGTGAATTTAATGAAGCAACATATTTCCTTATATAAGACAACACCAGAACAACTAAGACTACAGTATTAACCAAAACAAGAGGAAGATTACCAGAAATGTTGCTGATCTTTCAGAAGCAGAAGTAAATTTTGTTCCAACCATACTTGCAATAGCTGAACCACCATCACAAGACACAAATTACAAAAATTACCCATCTTCAAAAATTAAAAAAATTATCTAACGACTAAATTTCAGTTCAAAATGTTTGAAGTCACATAGAAACACAGTTTTTTCCATATTTGAATATATTCTATCAAGCGTCATTCCTAATTGGATGGGGTTTCTATGAGCAAGCCCACTCATACTATACATATGCGAACCCCCTCTTAAATCATCTTAAAAAATGATTTCTTAATCTAAGATTTAAGAGATTCATGATCTAGGTTAAGATGATCATGAACATGAAAAAAAAATGATACTTAAAATGTGATTTCTTGGAAAAGATGGACATTGGTGAGTCAGCAGGCTCTTGCACCCACTGAATCATGAAGGACTTTTCCTTCCTAATTATTTGCATTCATTTGGTTAATAGCTTCAAAAGAAATAGAATATGAAGACAAATGTATTGCATTTAGCAGTATGAAAGACACCAAGAGGGTTTTTGTATTACTACAGTTTAAGTTAAGCAGCAAGACTGTGGTCAAGATCTGTAATTAATGCATGTAACTTTTTTTACATGTATCTACTTGACACTTCAGAAATTGTATGAAGGTTCAAGGTTACATGGTCTATAACATTTTGTTTTTTTTGGGTGGGTGGGGGAGGGAATATGTGCTTTTTCTTTTTTCAGCTTTTGTACCATTAATTATAAGGTTTTTTTAACCAAATCCATTTATAGCATCTACAGAAGAAGCATTGATTCTTCAATCCCGGGTTGGTACCCTCTACCTAAATATGATTACCAGGGGAGATAAAGGTCCCTCGAAGCACAAAAATTGATACTGCAGGCAAGTATGAAATTATTTGAACATGTTATGTCTCTAGGTCTATGAACTCCAATGACCTCCCCTTAAGCAAATTGTCAATCTGGTTTACTTGGATGGCATGGGTATGTTTGATGCGTTATTGGAAGCTCAAGGAGGTGTAGGAATGGGCTATCATTGGTAGCAAGCAGCTCCCTAGTTGCAGAGCATCAAGTATAAAAAATATATGGGAATTTAAAAGAACATAAAAAAAAAAGGCGAATGATACTGTGTATTTTTTATCTTGCCCTTTAATCTCAATATTGGTTTTTGATCAGATAATAACTAGCTAAAATCACAAGACTGTGTAAAGCAACAGAGGATCATTCCCCAAGTAAGAAATACACACGATATTTATAGTTAGATACACAATAAATATATTAGGGAAAATATTTATCTTAAAAATATATTTTCTAAGAAAACTTCCACAACAGATATTTATTTGCTCAAGTCCAATCGTATAAAAGTATTGCATAATAATATGACAAAGTCATTTATTTGATCGATATATTGTAATTTCTTAATAGAATTTATTACTAAATTTTAGCAGAGAAAATAATTTGCTAACGTGAAACAATTTGCTAATATGAAATTGAATTACCATGAAAATAATTTACAGGGAATGTGATTCTCAAGCTTGTTTTTTCTCATGTAATCATTTTCTTATGTTTGGTAACTTACTTGTGGCGTGCACATGCAAGAGCAATCATCTCACTGTGATATTGTAATTTCTCGTGCTTAAACACAGATAAAAGGACATAATTTGCAGTCTCTCTTGCTTAGGACATAATTCTTAGTAGATACATAAACCAACTTCCTTAAGCTTAACATCGAATTTATTCAACATCATGAATATCTCTTTCTTTTTGGGTCAACAACCATAGGGACTGAAACTATGTCTGGTTTTTACAACATATCAAAAACTTTTAAAGCATCTTCTGTACACTACTAAATTTTGCATGCACATCAATCAAAATATTAGCCACAGAGGCTATGAAATTGCAGCCAAACTTAACCACATGGGCATGAACCCACTTCCTTTACCCTAGTGCCCTTATACTTGCACACCCATTAAAAAACACTCAAGTAAGTAAAATGGGTAGGTTCAAACCAGCAATTTGCATCTCCAAAAATTGTCTAAAGGTGATCTATTCATCTCTAAAAAAAAACCAAACTGCAGCTTCTGATTGATTGATTTGAGAAAAACGAATAATCAAAATGGTCCCCAAGAGGCGTTTTATCACATGCTTTTTGGCATCAGAAAAAGATCCCATTTGGCGTACAATTTAGTTAATCAAGAAAATATCAGATTTTAACTTTGAAATTCAGAAAGTATGAGTGGAACAATGTTCCTTTCTTCCATTAACACAATGGGGTGCATCTCTTGAGAAATTTGGAGTTGGTGTCAGCATCAATGGGCATGTCTATTAGGTCAAGAATGTGGAGATTTTGGGCTGAAGACTTGCTTTTAGAAGAAGGCGTTTGGGTTAAAAGTTCAATTATAGAGAGCTAAAGGTCACTATGACTCTGTTTCAGAGGTGCCCATGGTCTGAGAGAGAAGGAAGAGGTGGAGCTGCAGAAAATTAGGGCTCTAAGGTTTGGTTTGTTAGAGCTCCATTGGAGCCATATGGGGGTTTTGACGAAAGGTACGTTGTGAAGGAGGATATTTATATATATATATATATATATATATATGGAAATTGTTTGGTGCGGCCTGCGCAATCTACACCGTCCTCCGAATAAAATAATTGCCATCCTAAACAATTGCCACCTTAATTCTCTAAAAAACTAAAA